TTCCCATTTTCTTCATGGTCTTTGCCATCCTCTCAGCTGTTATTTCTTTTTCTAAACAAAACAACAAAACACCATAGAGGGGAGCATGTAGGTTGTCTGCCACACAAGGGCAACAGGTTCTGTAAGTAATTTTCATTTCTGGTGCAAGAAAAGCCAAATCTCTGAGGAGCTACACACCCAGTGCCTTAGCTGTTCTCTAGAGAAATCTTCTTTGAACAACCTATGGCTTTTCAGTGTCTGCTGTCTCATGCCAAGATCCCTGAGGGGGAAGAAACGAAAGAGAGGTGTGGTTTTACCTCAGTTGTTTGAATCATATATCAGTCCAAAGGGGGACTGCGTAAGATGGCTGCGTAACTTTCCCCTCATCTTCCTTGTTTCATTGGCAGCTACGTCTTTACCATCATTGGTGGAGGAGCATTTTCATTACAAAACATCAAATACTTCACTCCACAGGAGATGGTACAATACAACCCGAACCCGAACAGGTGACTTTCGCCGTGCCACTGGGTAGCAGGGGTGGCTTATTTGAAACCTGCCTTTTGAGTTATTTTAAATGGTGGTCAACAAAGACCATCCTGTGGCACTAGTCATTGCGCTGGTGTGTCTAAACTGGCATACAGGTTTAAATAATAATTATAATAGAACGACTGTGGCAAAAGAAAGCAAAGATGGTACCAGTAGTTTGGGTGCGATTCCAAAACATCTGGAGCACCACTTGAAGGCCATCGGCATTGACAAAATCACCATCAGTCCATTGCAAAAGGCAGCTTTACTTGGAACAGCTTATATCCTGCGACGATATCTTGAACACCATCAAACAACAACGTCTGCCTATCCCAGGTCCTTGGGAAGGACTCCATAGGGGGATAGAAATGCCAAATCCAGACTAAACAATTGGCTGACTGTGTGACCAACCATAATACAAAGGCCTACAGCAAGAAAAATATTAATTCACCCCTCAGCCTCCCATCTGCAAAAGAGGTAGTTGCCCTTTTCCTGCAGGATGCCTGCACTGGCCAACTTCCTTTGAATGAGCTTTTGATGAGCCCTGTTTCTGTTTCAGCCAGGGATACCCTCCCTGAACCACTCCCAGTACTCAAATGTACCAGAAGTGTACTACTTCATGGTACACTGGCGTAATTGTAGAATTACTGATGATCTATCCTCTTTCGCAGTTATGAGTGGAGGATCTGGTACAAAGAGGGGGAAGGGGCTATTGACTCACGTGTGGACATTTGCAAAGCCCAACTGTCTTGATGTGTATTTGGCTTCCCTAGTAATGTGTCAACTCTGATATGGGTTAGAGCTGATATAGAAGATAATGCAACAAATTCTGAAGGGTACTCTGTCCTCTCTGAAGCCAACTCTGGAATTCTGTAAGTTCTACTCTGAAAGATTTGCTTTATCTTTGGGGGTGCATGTCAGTTTCTGACCAGCCTCTCCATATTCTCATCTCCAACGAAAGAGGCTTAGATATAGATTGGGTTCTCTCTAAGATTTACAATTGGGTTTGTTGAATAAATAAAAGGGGCGTAGCTCACGTAGAGTGCCATACATTGTAGCTTAAAGATATATGTGAGCCTTGCCTTTTTTTCATTCAGGATTCCTTCAACACAGACTTTATTTTTCCTTCCCCAACTGAATTTTCCACCATCCAAAACTGATATTTTAAAACAATATAGGATTCCACCCAGAAATATGAAGGAGCCTACTGTATGACTTCCCCTGACACAAATTCTTTTTTCCCTGTAGATGGATTTGTCAGGAGGATTCTCCATGTTACGATATTGTCCCTGAAAGTATGGTTGCTCCAGATTTTTACTTTGTGATAAAAGTATCAAACAGGTATTTGTGATTTTGATGTTTAAATTGATTACCTGACTATAGGGGGTGAAATCATGCAGAACTGCACTGGAGAGCTTTTTCTAAGGGTGGATGTCTTTGCACGTGTGCATGTGTGTGTATCATTTTGTTACTGAATTGCTAATCTGCTGCAAGAGAGAAATCAATCATCACAAGGGCCTATAGTATATCTAGGTCCATGATCTGGAGTCTGTTGGACTAAGAGCTTGATTAATTATGTAGACCAGTGTTTCTCAACTTCAGCTACTTTAAGATGGGTGGACTTCAACTCCCAGAATTCCCCAGCCAGCCAGCGTGGGAGCTGGGGTCCACCCATCTTAAAGTTGCCGAAGTTGAGAAACACTGATGTGGAAAGACCCTGCAAAGAGATTTAATCAGGGCGATATGAGAGAAAACTTTAAAAAAGAATGGATGCTTTGCCCCAGTGATCAACGTCCTCCCATTCTTGTTTGCTTCCACAGGGGGGTCGATCAAACCACCTACTGCGACTATGCCTTGGAATTCATTGTTCACATCCACGGCCTGCGCCTCAGCCCCACCCGTGCCCTGTATCTAATGAAGGTAAGAGAGATGCGCCTTGTTGGGAAGAATATTCCACATGTAAAGTGGCACACGCGAAGAGCCTGTGAACTCCCTAGGGACAGTTGACAAGTCTCTTGTGTCCTCAGCCCCAGAGACTCCCCCCTTGTACCCTGCTGTGATCACAAGGATAAGTGCTTCACGGTCCCACCAAAAAAACTGTGGCTTAGTGATAGAGGATCTGCTTTCATACCAGTGGCCATAGATTCAGTCCTGGCTTTTCTAGGAAGATGTCGCTCTCTGAAATCCTGAGGAGCCATTCCCATTCAGCCTAAACCAAGTGGGCCAACCTCCCACGTTCTTAAATACAAATGCAGCAATGAAGCATTATCTCAGGGGAGACACCTGAGTGGACATGCCTTTGGGGAAATGAACTCAGAGAAGAACTGAATTATGGCAGAACGCAATTCAAGGCTAGCTTGGTAATCACTGGGTCAAAGTGCAGGGCCTTTCTTGTGACAGCCTGGGTCCTTCAGAGTGCTTGTTCCCCAAAAGCTCTTCTCCCCCTCCTAACTAAGTGAAGGCTGAGCATTCCTGGTCTAGCAGGATAAGAAGAAAACGACAAGGGATGAGGGGTCCCTGCTTAGCAGAGGAATCCAATGCCCACCCTTCTTTCTCTCTTTCCTTCTCTAAGATTTCAATGGCTGTTGTGGTTGGACTGGTCATTCTGTATATCATAGTTCACATAATGGCCCCCAAGGTTCAACAATACTGTAACAAGACATTACGAAAGCTGGAGGAAGCTATAGCATTTCGGGCTGGTGAGTTTCCAACCTGTAGGGGAATGGAGGAGGAAACCCCACTGGGGGGCCTCTTGGGCTGTTTTCTTGACATTTCACCCAAACCTACGGTGGGCCAAAGGTGATCTTCGGCTTGAGGGCCACAGTTCTTTGAGGCTACATCTGGCAGGCTTCCCCAGCCAGGGACCTTTCAGAAGGTGGGACATCTGCCCCCAGAAATGCCCTTCCCTGGGGTCCTTGGCACTTTGTTCAGTGACTCATAGTAACCTGCATCTTTCACAACTGGAGTAAAGAAGGAAAAGCTGCATCTGCTTCTTGCTATGCGATTCTGCTTGGTCCATCCCTGCTGAAGTCTGCAGGATCCCACAGAGGCTGTGTCTCACCCACCTTCTGCTTTTCTACACTGCCAGTTTTAGAGGTGGGATTAAGCATGTTCTGTTACTCCAATTAGACTCCTCTCCTGTGTGGGCGATCGGAGGGGCTGTCTGTCTCTGATAGTTTCTACCTGCCCTCTATGATCAGACAGATTAAAACAGTGGCTTCTGTTGGGACCCAGGAAGCATTCTGCGGCAGCACCTGCCCTTGGGAACAGCCTCCCTGCAGAGATCCTTATGGCCCCGGCCCTGACAATGTTTAAGAAGTCCTTGGAAACCTGGCTGTGGGTGGGGTGGGTGGTGAAGCTTCATAGGATTTTATCTGTTAGTATGATTGTCTTTCTCTGGTTGCACATTATTCTTTGCTTTTTATTTTGACTATTTTTAATGTTGTATGCCACCCAGAGCCTTTACCGAAACGGGCGGCCTTCTAAAATGAATAAGTAAATAACGTGACTTGGAGCTAGCTCCTCTGAGGAGCTTTAACTTTGGGATCCTTTCCCTGTGTCTTTTTCCTACCAGAATCCAGCCTCACCTTCTCCTCTTCCTTCACCAGTCAAGGATCCCTTCAGCACCTGCCCTCTGAAGCCAGCCATGGCAGTAACCCACCTTACCCCTCCAGAACAGCAGTGCCAGGCCAAGGAACACAGTAGCCCTGCCATGGCTTGTCAGATTCATCTGCCAGTGGGGCTCCTGGTGCCTGGAGGCATTATCCCTCTACCTCTAGTCACCGCCTGAGGAAGATCTGCTTCTTTCTCACCATTTGCTGAGAGGGAGGCTTTCTGGAGCTCAGTATCCAGGAGTATGTAACAAGTGACCACTGAATGATTTCTGGAACAGGGCATTTAGACAGGTTGTGCCGCTCTTCTGCAGACTATGCCAGGCTGTGAGGCTGCAGATATTTATCTTTTGTCGGTGAGCAAATTGTTTGGTTGAGTCACTCACCATGCGAATCTTGGGAAGGGTTCCAGAAGTCCTCTGTTGCCAGCACCCCTGCAAAGATCAGTTGGCACCCCAAAAGTAACCAGTTATCACAGCCTGGGAAATACTCCTGAAATGTAGGGGACGCGTCTTCTTCATCAGGGGCCAGTCAGGAGAAAGCCCAGTCTTAGTTTTGGTATTTTATTACTATTTCCCACAGAGTTTCACCAAACCACCTCTGTCTTCTAAGAATTGTATTTCTTGACCCTGACCCTCTCTCTGCCGCTGTAGTTTTACACCTTGATGCTGGGAACTGTTACTGGATTGAACTAAACAAGGGGGTAACCCTTTAAAAGAGAAGTGGGTGGTGGGGGAGTAAGAACCCTTACAGGCAGGGTGGCAAGTATCTGATCCTCTGTGCCCAGTTTCTCACTTGGTTTTGATTGAATAAATATTTGTGTCCAGACCTTCTAGAGCTGCCAGTTGGATACTTTCTTCTTAAGAACTTCTTAAGACTGGCAGTGCCAGTATTGGGCACTGCCAGTCATTCCGGAAACCCACCTGCTTCAAGGAAAGACTTCGCATTAGGTGCCCTTTGCTCGGGAGGACTCTCTGCTGCCTTTCCAGACCGACAGATTATATCCTCATCCCCGTCCTCATCCTTTGGCCCGGCACGGGTGGAACTTCTCTACAAAGAGCAACACCTCCCGTGACTCTCTTTAGAAACAAAAGCCACGAGGTGGCAGCGAGATGGCAAAGTTTCTCAACCTCGAGGACTTTAAGATGCGTGGACTTCTACTCCCCCCATTCTCCCCACCCCCCGCCCGCGTGGGGGGGTTTGGGGGGTGAGGGACAAAACCACCACAGCT